AAAGGGATGACGGCATATCTCATTAAATCCAACTCAAATTACTCCTTTCTACTCACGCTACGATGTCATAGTACATTGCTTTTATCAGAAACATTACATATAACTCTATGGCGATGCAGTGCACAATACTCAAATAACAAACTGGATCCTACCACATAAATTCGGTATCATAGCCACATAAATTCGTGAATGGAAATAGAAGATAAGAGTTGGAAACGTGGGGGGTCTATCTGAGAAAAAGGGTTAGCCAAGAGCCACTTTTCACTCTTCTCAGAAAGACACTCCTCCACTTGCCGTTTCTATCTTCAATTTCTGAGCGCGAGTTTACGTGGCTTTGGTACCCAAAGTAACTGGACCCCTGATCCCTTAACAGTTTAAGGATGAGTGACAGTGTAAGGCTGAGGTTGGCTGAGGTTGGCATTACACAGTTTTTTCTTAATTTTTTCCCTAGCTGTGCTTGATTTTCTATGGTTTCGAATAAATAAAGAAGTGCGTGTTTTCTATGGTTTGCAAATTTTCCCCAGCAGTGAAAATTTCTTGAAAAATGTTCTGTATTTTTTATCTATAAAGGATCGATCAACAGTTGATCATCAAATAGAAATGCGATGCCAATCGTCAGTCAATGAAGATGAAGAAACTAATTTAGGCGATAACCAGGAAATATTGGGGCAGATCACAAACAACGTACCAAGCATAAATGATGCATTAAATGTTCCCGTAACATGGGAAAAAATGTGCCAGGACCAATGGGGACCATGTCACATAGAATACTTTCAGGTTTCGAGGAAGTTAGAGTGAAGGAGCACTGGCATTGCTCATGTCGAATTGCTCAAGAGCAAGAAAGATACCACAAATGATGTGAAGAGTGATCTTAACGGGGTTTTCAGAATTTGCCATGAAGTAAAATGATAAACAGTTTACATTAAAAATAACTCATAGGATGAAAGCGTCACATTGCAAGAAAAAGCTCGAAAAAATCAAAGCTTCAAGATGACTGCATGTATCTTATGGTTAACCGAAGGAAAAACGATTTGGGGTTCGTTCTGAACCTTATGTATTTCTTAGGCGCAGATGACAAAATTGAATGACTCGATAAGCGTAGGTGACTCGATAATGCTTCAGTACTTCGTTAATCGAGCAATATGCGGAAACATTGAAGAAGTTCAATTTGTTGTTCTGGCTCATGGGAACGCTAGACACAACAAAAGGAGATCCCGATTTCATCCATTGAAGAAAAGGACATTGGATGCTGTACAGTGTACACCAAGCTATCTGTCCAAGTGAAAAAACCAACATTGGTCGTATTACGTTGAAGTAACTAACTGTCATTAATATAGACTACGATAACGGAGATGTACCAAGGTCAAAGAGGCAAGTCATAGATCTATCATATGCCAGCCATTCTAGAGAAAGAAGTAAACCCAAAAATGAAGTAGAAGTTTTATTGGCCTACAACGAATAGCTTGGAGATGATGGCATTGTATTGCTCCAAAGCGTTTTTCCTAGTGATTTGTGGGTTTTGTCAAACATGCGCATTCTGTTTGATTTACGTCGCTCTGAAGGAGGTCTACCGTTATCTTGTGCAGGGACCGCGCAGAGGGGCTGAAATGGATGTGCCCGAAAGCTTTTTGAGGCCAAACCCTCTAGAACGCAGGAAAATGCCTCGTTTAGAAACGCAACATTACATTAACAGAAAATACTTGCTTATTTCTACTCAATTTTTATAAACAGTTTGGTTCAGAAAAGATATCAATAACTATAAAAATAGATAAAATTAGCTCGAGAGTAACAAAATACCAAGCTAACCAAGCTAGAAAATATATCATATCATTTAACAAAATATAACACCTAGAAAATAAACAAAAAAGGTTTTCCACTCAAGAAGAACTGCTACTACATAAGAGTAAACTATCCAAAGTTGTGTTAGAGTAAACCTGTATCTGTGAACCCTATGTTTAACTTTGGGAAATTGAGGTAACATCATTGACATACAGACATCGACTCATTGAATCCAAATCTGAAAACCTCCCTGATTCTTGGCAAAGTGCTGCATTTATTGGACACCGATGGAGAGCAGGCTTTGCATAATGCATGCAAAAATACTTTCAGCGAAGCAGTAATGTTGCGATATACAAGACACATTTACATAAACTGTAATTGGGGTGAAAGGTGGAGGCAAAGAAAATATGCTGAATATTGTTTCTGGAAAGGATGGTCTTGTAGAAGCAAAAAACAAAGAAGATCTAATGGTAAAGCTAACAGAAGCAAACTAGCACAGCTGGATAGAGAAATTTTTATAGTTGAAGATTTGTCAGTATACAAATCGAATTTTCATGCATATCTGAAAGAGCAGGAAAGCCAGCCCTACGCAAAGTTATCCAGGATGCCTGCGAGAAAAGTGGAATGCCAAGTGACATCGAAGGTAAAACAGAACGGGTCTACACAAATAAGTCTGAATGTGTCAATTCCATGCTAGCAACAAAGAAAGCCTCTTTTGGTTTTTCGAAAAAAATGATATATCAAAGACACATTTCATTAAAAATGTATGGGAATCTGTGGTCAGCGAGAGGATGAGATAGCTAAAGCTATCACTGGTACAATTTTATGGTATAGATTTAGTGAAGATACGATGTACTTATCTGTTAGTTTAAGCCTATGTACCCTGGGTACCAGACTCACTATATGGTAAAGCCTATGGTGCCAGTGGACAGCAGAGAAGCCAAAAGTTTCCTTGACAACCTCCAATAACCTTTCGCTGGATGAAGTAAGAAATGGAAAAGAATCAGCATTTCAGAAACATGCTTACAAGTAGCACAAAATTCAATACATTCATTGTCGATAAAGTTAAGCATCGGCCTTCCATCAATCATATATGCAATTGTCATCAAAAGAAAGGCATTCGAAGTTATAAACAGCAAGAGTACAATCGTTCTAGTACCAAGTTTGGGCAATGACAACAGGGGAAAAAAGTACATGGTCGCAGGAAGCAAAGCGTCAAGATCTTTCAAACGTTAAATAGAAAAAGTCAAATGCTACTGCGAGGGTTCAAGTTTGCGAGTGTATGCATACACTCTATTGCAGTAGCTGAAAAAAGGAAGGGACACTGAGAACAATAATTGTGCCGCTAGATCTACCTTAACATACTCCAACGCAGTGGCGGATTTAGGGGGGGGGCAACAAGTGGCAGTTGCCCCTCCCTCAACAAGTTGAAGCAAGTCTGGTGCCCCTTTTTGGAAATTGTGCGCCCCTTTTGAAGAATGAGAACCAAATGAAAAAGATTCTGAAACTGACAGGCTAATCTGCCTTCAGGATTACCTCAAAGTTATGTTGTTTATTCCGAAAATTGCTGTGTACAGCGTACTCTCAAATTTGCTCTGGATCCGCCCCTACTCCAACGGATGGAGAAGAGCTACTAAATATACAACAGTTAATGTATTATAAAATATGTTGTAATAAACGTGAATCAAGATACATTTAGCCAGTGGCGGCGCCAGCTATTACAGAGTGGGAGGGTAATGTCGTTTTTTATAGAATGTTATTCCAAAAAGATTTGTATATAAGCCAAAGTTGAAATGTGTTAGAATTTGCAAGAAGGAATATGTGTTCCAAAGTTTTTAGAACATCAATGTAACTTGTGTTGTATCCAAAAGAAAATATTAAATTTTCTCCTCCGCAGAGGCGTAACATCTGAGTGCTTACTGTTTCACCCCAACTTTAACCCGAGAGACAAATCACTCTAAGAAAATCTCGTACATCTTTTGCGAAAATCCAATTGTTTTATCTGAAAATTCCCAGAAAACCTTTTGTTTTAGGCAAAATCTCGTACGCTATTTGCAACGAGTGAATCGCCCCTCGCCTTAACCCCTTAGGTCCCAGCAGATCACCGTTCACCATCACTTCTGTAAATCCCTATATATGTGGGTACTCGAAAATAACCACATCAATTTCTTCGATTACAGGTGGCACCTACCTCAAAATGAACCTGGTCTAATAATACTTTCATCTATATCATTCATTCTGATGTTAGTCACAGTTGTCTACCTGTATTTCTTTGTAATGTTGCCCCACACATGTAATCGCATCTTTGTCACCATAAGCATTTAGAAATTAACACTCAAAATGATAAAGATAATAAGATAATTCTCAAAAAGATGATTAGACACCATGTGTTCATGTTACCATTCGATCGCTGCCATTGACGTTGTATTTCCATTTTGTGCATTGACGTATCAGATTACTTCCTGTTATCGTATTGTAAGAAGATGATATTGCTTTACCATAAATAGCTGCTATGGCAACAACAGAATGTAGGAATACGTATATATTCAAATTGGCAAGTTGAATTTTGGTAGATATATAGAGATTCAAGCAGATATACGTAGGGAACATAGGGAAATGTGAGACGTGTGGAGAAGCACTTGTACGTGTTAAGGCTATTACGATTTAAGGATGCTAGCTGCTCAGCTCAAGAGACTTGAGAAAGCTCGTCGATATTTCGTTGTTATTCAGATTTACAGGACAGGCAGTTCTTGTAAAAGACTATGATGGGCCTCGCTGTAAGTTTCGAATAGAGAGAACGCGGAGGACCTAGGATTGTATTATTGTATTAGCTGCAAAGTAAATATTTAGCCTGGAATGACTGCATAAATGATAACAAACGAAAATTATTAGCCGCTCGCCAAATGTCATCATTACTTGTTATTCTCTTCACTGACAAGGGCAATATATGCACATAGTTTTCCATATTACATTGGTGTCAGGCGTGGGATAGCAATATTACGATCTGAACTTCTAACTTCTATTATTTTGTTTATGTACATAATCATATCAGATTTTTTATCAGTTTTTGGTCCGTCGTTTCAAACAAAGTATCTCTGCAAGGTTTTGTTGGTGCAGCTTATAATCAGGGGCGGCTTTTATTTTTTTAGAGCCCCATTTACTGAAGGCGGGTTATAATCGAGTAATCACGGTACTCCCTCTATTCAAAGGTTTCCGCTGACCAGTTCCATGAAGGTACCGACAAAGACAACGCAACAACCGTTGTTGTTCATTTGTGTTGAGTAGTCATGGCGGACAAGGTGGTAGATGGCGAGCAAGCTGACCCTAAGAACGTTCAAGATCTCACCTTGTTTGTATGTAAATAATTACTTTTCACGTTATCTTACGTTGATGCGTTAACAGCATCGAAATATTTTCTTGGTCACATTCTTATTCTTGCACAATCAATATGATTGAATTAGGTCCCCACCTTAGATAAATCTGTTTAGAACAAGCCATAACCACTTCTTTGTTACCTGATCAGGCAAAATAACGTTACACTTTTGTTACTTTTTGAAAAGTGAATGAAATGCATGGGCCTTTAGTTTCGACTAGATTTTATATAACACGCTCAACAATCAACACATACTACAAGGACAAACTGCGATGGCAAAACACAACTCATAATGTTGTACAAAACATTAAGAGTTTTACAAACTTACAAGTTCACAACAAAGTTTTTCCTTAATACGAAAAAGTTTTTCTTTAATCAAGGGTCAAATTCTTTATGATTTACACTCATTTTTTTAATAAAAAAATGGCTATAAGAAACGAGTATTGGAAAGTCAGAAAAAATTAAGAAACTTCAGAACACGAAGCAAAAAATAGAGAAACTATTGAATCATGATAAAACTGAGAACAACAAAATTTTGTAAAATCCAAGAACATGATTGCCCTGTTGGCCTAGAACTTAAGACACAAGGGATAAAAATATCCCTCCACATCTAATTACAGCATCAGAACGGAAGCAAATCTTTTGACATGATAAAAAAGTCTCGAGCATTTCATAACATCATAGTTAAAAGAAACTCTTAGGAAACAATGAGTATTGAAGTTTCCAGAACATTAAGAAGCTAGAGCACTCAACATAGACCTTTGTTTCTTATAAAAAATGAGTGTATTGAAGATTTCAAAGACTTTTTGAGTTGTCATTTTACTTGTGATTTGTTTTTTGCAGGTTCAAAATTTATTGCAGCAAATGGTAAGTACATCAAATTCCCAACCCAGAGTTTTTTTATACTTCAAATTGACCATGATATGTTTCATAATATTAGTCTTTTTTAAAGTTAATTTTTGTTACATATTTATTGCATATAAATATTTTTTGAAAAGATCTTCATTCTAAAATTGCAAACTGATTAAGGAGCTCATCCAGCCAACTCTCTAATGGAATTTGCCCTGCTGATCATGGTTTTTATAATTTTTTAAAGATTCTGTTCTAAAAGTGCAAGGTTCTGGTCATAACCAAAATAATCAAAACTAGACTTACAGCTGTCACTGGTGTCACATGGTTTTCATAAGGTGTAATTTGTCAGCGATTGTTACATATCACTGTCTGCCATCTTTTCCAATGCTCTCAAGGAATTGAGGAACTTTGATTTTCCTGATTGTCTCAGATTGCCTGCAATGTAAAAAAGTTAATGTAAACACCCTATCAGCAACTGTCTGCTACAGCATCAAAATGTTAATTGAAAAATTCTGTTTTGCACAACTGCTTTGCTTGTTTAAATGGCTACTACGAAGTTAAATGATTCCATAGAGAATACCATGTGCAATCCATGAAGATTATTGGAGATTTTCTTCAGAGATACAATAAGGGTTTCCATGAAATCAAATTGTTGGAAGGCTGTCTTGAAGAGTCATAGGATCTGAAAGTATCTTCAAAAGACTACATAAAAGCATAGGGACACAATTTGACTAGACACTTTGGAGAAGGGGAGGGCTGGGAGGGGGAGGTGGCAAACATTTAAGAAATGAACCACCAGTCAAGCCTCTTTTTATTTTGGTTTGAGCCCCTCCCCACTCTTTTAGACCCCCACTTTTTCAATGCTTCAAGGTGCCTGTTGCTATCATAAACAGCAGCAGAGGTTTAAGTTTTCATCCATTTTTCCCTGAAAAGTGCCCAATAATCTTAAAAGTCTGTGTTTTTCTTGAAGTCTGAGATGACCAATGCCAATTACTTAGACCATATAAAAACTGGTTGCCTGTAATTGTCGGTGATCAGCCTAAAGCATTGCCTGTGATGATCGCCAGATGAAAAATATGATAGAAAAGCTGATTGTCTGTGATTGTCTGTGAGGGTGGCAAACAATGTTGGGCAACAATCAAAGACAAATTACACCATATGAGAACCAGCCTTTAGAATTGCAGTATCCATTTGAACTATTTTCAGCTATAAACAAGTTTATTTTATAGATATAGATGCAATGAATGCTTTAGCAATTTGACTGCATTTTGTGCTGTGACATGACAGTGTTACCAGTCAGTAAAGGGTTAAGATAAAACATTTCTAACAGCTATTTCTTTCGACTTTTGCAATTTTGGTATTCTGCAGTGTGATTGCAAACCCAGGGGGGTCCTTTGAACTTTTTATATACAGTGGGTCCATCTGATAATAATGGATAAGAACTTACTTTATGATCTGATACTTTTGGGTACCTGATTTAACAACACACCATGTTGATACTTATGGGTTCAACTAGCACATAACGATATCAAAAACAGAAAAAAAAATTAACAGATCTGTTTAAACTCATTATTATAGGAAACAGTCTAAATCTCCATGACTAGTTGTCTCCTGTGTACTCAACAACAAGATGTCTTATCAATATTATTTTGATATTTTTAGGTCTTATGAACACTTTTTAGCTAATAATATGGGTCTGCCAAATTTGTTTTTGATTTAGGTGAATTTTGATAGCTGCAGATGGACCTCCCTGTATGTGAAAAATTTTAGTCACTTTCCTGTGTTGCCATCCCCTGCTTCAAGTTTTAGTTTGTTGCACTAAATCCTAAGAAAATCTTTTTGGCAAAGATGCAGTACACACTTGATGTTAACTTGTATTCTTTTTATCAAAGATGAAAGAAATTTTCAATTATTCTGCAATTTTGTTTGTGCTTTTCATAATTATTGATTACATCCGCTCATCTCAAAATAACCAAATTCCTTGCAGCAAGACAAATTTGCTACTATGTCAGATCAAATCCTTGTGAGAAATATCCTTTTCAAAAATGTTATTAATATTTGCTTGGTACACATAAATAGAAACTTCCAAGTTTTATATACAGGTGGGATTTCATAACCAATTGATTAAAGGCAGTTTGCCCCTCAATGATTTGCTAATGTGAACAATGGGTTTTCCCGCCTTAATGGATTACGGTGCTTGCCTTGGCTGACCTGGCAGCAGTAGTGGATGACATTTGAAACTATCACAAAAAGCTATCAGAAATGGCAAGATAATTTAATTACAGGAATTGAATGATGATAATGGAAGCATTTCCTTTCACTGTTGACATATCTGTTACACAAACAAAACAGGGAACTAAATTTTTCTAGCCACAGCTTCACTACAAGGGTCATTTGATTCAACACAACCATTTGATTCAAAAGCTCTGGAATCATAGAGCTGTATCTGATTGGTTTAATTTGTTTAATTGTCGATCAAGCTCAACAGTGCCTGAATTGCACTCCCGTGAAAATAAAGTTGAGCACAATAGGAGACAGACTGCTTTTAAATGTCTTCTTTAACTATTTGATTTTGTGTTAACCTTGACTTAATTTACTTGATGAAATGGGGAAAAGAGTTGATGAGCTAGAAAAGAACATTGGGGATCTGATGAAACAAGCAGAGCTGGATGAACCTGAGAAATAGCCACAAGAAGAAGTTTATTAGTGACAATTTGATTCCTATGGCAAGCAATGAGGCAGAAAGACTAAGATGTTGATTCCAATGACTGTCTTTTGGCTGGGAAACATCCATGTGGGAGTTTTTATTTATCTATTAAGGTGCAGTGCAAGACTTTTATTAAATTGTCAATTTATAGGTTACCCTTTGTGATTTTGTATAGATGTATAGATGTATTGCAACTTTTTGCTTCAAATGTCTATTTCATGTCTTTCCACCTCATTAATAACTATTATGCTACCTACTAGATCAGGTTTGAAGTGATAGTTAATTTTTTTAGGGGGGGGGGGGGGGGGGGGGGTCCTAAAGCTCACATTTCCTTAAAATCCTGGCAACTTAGCATAATTTACAAGATTTTGGGGGCTGTAGCACCCTTCTCAAACCACTGCACCTGGTTCTAGTGTTGTTGATGCTAAAAGAATTGTCTGGTTTTGCTTTCTTGAGGAATTATGGTCCAGTTGCTGTTATTTGGGTATTTCCTACTTTGCACAAGGTTCATTACATTTTGAAAATTATACATTAATTGGCAACATTAAAAAATTTATTATTCCATGTAGGCTGAAAAAGAAATCAAAGCTTATTTACAGCTAATGAAGGCCTACTATTAGCATGTTACTCAAATTTCACTCTAATTAAAAGTAGAACTAAAGTTATTAGTTTAAAACTAAATCCTTTCAATTTGAATCCTTTTGACGTGCTTCTTCATCATAAACTTTAGCAATAGAAAATACAATAAATATGGTTATTAAAATACAAAATCTGGTCACTGACTCATCACCCAGGGTAATGAGTGTATTTCAAATATTGCGCAAAAGTTGTTCTGCTTTGTGGAAAATGCATTTATCGAGGAAGAATAGTTTTTAAATAGCCTTAAGCACAAAATCGAAATTTTTTAAGAACATTGAGTCTCAGAAAAAATTAAGTGTTCTTATAAAAAAGTGTGTAGTTATATAGTTAAAGCTGGTGTTGATTAACTGATAAGTAACTCTCTTTTTGAAAAAAATAAAGCATGTTAAAATATCATTCCCAGCTGTGAAGGGATCAGGTATCTTATATTCTTTATAAAAAGTTTTTTAAAGTTCCACTGAAATGAAAAAAGTTATTGTATAGTTAATTCTGATAAACTAAACATCGCTGATTTAGGAAAAAAGTTTGGTTTTTTCATTTTAGGCTCATAAATAGGGTTTTCTGGATGTTTTTTCGAGTAGGTCGTGCGAAAGGAACCTGGGGCGAGTGGCGCATTAGGATTTGCAGAGTGAATTCAGCTACAGTTAGTGCTGTTAAAACATAAAAAATTGCTTATTGTGCAAAACGTGATACCAGCATGAAACTTGGTAGCGATAGGCAGTTTGATACGCTGAAGACGATAGGGTGTGAATAGACGCTTATAAAACCCCTGTATGCTATTTAATGACTAGGGTACCATGCTCCAGACCTCTAAACAATAATTGTCATAATTTAACTTTTAGATCGCGATACCAGCATGGAACTTGGTAGAGAAAAACAGTTTGTTACGCTGAAGAAGATAGGGTGTGAATAGACGCTTATAAAACCCCCGTATGCTATTTAATGACTGGGGTACCATGCTCCAGACCTCTAAACAATAATTGTCATAATTTAACTTTTAGATCGCGATACCAGCATGGAACTTGGTAGAGAAAAACAGTTTGATACGCTGAAGACGATAGGGTGTGAATAGACGCTTATAAAACCCCCGTATGCTATTTAATGACTGGGGTACCATGCTCCAGACCTCTAAACAATAATTGTCATAATTTAACTTTTAGATCGCGATACCAGCATGGAACTTGGTAGAGAAAAACAGTTTGTTATGCTGAAGAAGATAGGGTGTGAGTAGACGCTTATAAAACCCCCGTATGCTATTTAATGACTGGGGTACCATGCTCCAGACCTCTAAACAATAATTGTCATAATTTAACTTTTAGATCGCGATGCCAGCATGGAACTTGATAGAGAAAAGCAGTTTGTTACGCTGAAAAGATAATCTGTAGGCCGACTCGATAAAATAGTCCCTTCTTCTATTTATAGACTAGGATGCCAGGTTCCAGCCTTCTGAGCAAGATATCGTTACAATTGCACGTAAAATTGTGATACCAGTATGAAACTTGGTAGAAATTGACAAATAGTTAAGCTGAAAAAAAGGCTGTGAACAAATGCTAAACGATTTCCCATTTCTAACATCTTTCTGTGCCAGAGTTCGAATAGAAAATAACAAGTAGACAATGATGCTAGTACGATAACCAGAGCCGTCGAAAGGTTCTGGTGGCCCTAGGGCAAAACGGAAAGACGAGCCCCTGCGAGCGAAGGGAGCAGACAAATTTTGCCACCACAGTTTTTTTCAGTTTCATATATTTTTAAATTCTCAACATACAATTTATATATCATTAATACAAAGAAATTATTAAACTAAACTACATAATAGTATAAATACAGATACAGGACAAAATAAATTGTATGAAGGGAATTCTTAAAGGAGTAGATCTCTCAATAGGTAAACTAATCGAGGAGAGACCCCCCCCCCCTACTATTCTAGGACAATAATTGAGCAGTTTTTGACGAGTTTCAATACAAAGTAATTGGCTAAAATGCACATGCTCTTTTCACATAAAAATGGGGACTTTCCAGCTAATTAAAATCAGCTGGAAAAACTCAGAACGGGAATTTAGCAGTTATACTAGCTAACTGGTTGATCTTGTTCAACAAATGTAAATTTTAAGTTTCGATTTGAAAGATTTTTTTGATTGAGAATTTCACAGTTCAGAAGGTAAATTATTCCACAATTTAGCACCAAGATATCGAATCGACTTTAGCCCATATTGAAGACTGTTTTTACGACACAAATGTAAATTACCTTGACTGGCCTGTCTTGTGGAATATTGGTGAACTGAGGAACTCAATAGGAAAAAGTCATGAAAGCAAGTAGGTGAAGTTTCATTGACAGAATCAAAGACAAAAGTCAAGAGACGGAGTTCAAAAATATCAGAAAGTTCTAGAAGTTTGAGATCTTTGAAAATTTGAAGTGAGGGGGACACACCTGGCTGAAATGAAATTGCTCTGACTGCTACCACACCCTTAAGACTACCTTGAATTCATTCATTTTCTTCTTGCAAACATTTTAAAGGTTTTACTTTTCAAGGCAAAATTTGTTACTTTTAACCAATGCCATTTAAAAACGGACTTCATTACTTTTCGCTATTGGAACTACAGTTAAAATAGCCAAAGGGGACAATTTTAAGTCAGGGTCCATATCCAATCTTTTTTAGCGCATCAAGATGTCCTTTTTTGCAAAGTTTCATACTGTTGTACCAAAATAGGACTGAAATACGGTTATACCGTCTGTTAATGTCTGGGCAGTGTACTCTAGTCTAAAAATAGAACAAGGGGGCCATTTTCAGATGGGCTCTATATCCTATCATTTTCTGCGTATCAAATTGCCACCTATCGCAAAGTTTCCTGCTATTGTATCTACTTACAGAAGAGATATCAAAATAACGTCGTTAGTGGAGTCATGCGGTAAAACACCCTAGTCTAAAAATAGCCCAAAGGACAATTTTTAATCGGGGTCTATATCCTATCTTTTTTAGCGTATCAAGCTGCCCTATATCGCAAAGTTTCGTGCTGTAGTGCTAAAGAACGACTATGATCTTTAGCTACCCTTATCCTCTGGTAATGAGAAAGATTTTGGTCAACGGCGAATACCTACTGCGTTTACCAGATATGGGAATTTTCCCAAACCGAGAGTTACGGCGAAGTTTGAATCACGTGCCATGCAGCCTTTATTGTATTTACCCTTATTTCACTTCGAAATAACATGATTCTATTATAGTTAAGAAGTATTTCAATGCGGTCTGATAGCAGATTATAAAAAATCTAAAACTGACACTTTAAAAGACGGGGATCAAATCTTTAATCAGTCCTTTTAGGTAGAATTTTCTTTGTCACTGATTTCGGGGTAGCCTTCTCCGTGATACCTTGACACATATTTTTACGACATTTTACCTACTTTAAAGCACGTGAAATGCTGGCCAAAGAGTTTACTGAAACAAGCATCCAGTCAGTTGAAGTTATTCTGGAATGGTCTATTCTTATGTAGCTATTATATATATCTAGTTTTATCTCAAATCACATCACTGTCCTCTCCGTCACTACTTTATTCTTTCATTTTCATTTTTTATAATATAATATTTATACAGGTTAAAGGTTCATACATATGTTTTTCAACCTGACCTGTTTAAAAGAATAAAATAAGAGCTAATAACTATGTTAAAATACTAGTAACAAAAGAAATTTACCAATTAAACCTAATTTACAATATCTAATAATACTAAGGCTATAAAAAAGTGAACGTAAAGATGAAATAAAAGTTGTCCCCGACTATAGTTGTTCTTTGAAGGTTTTCAGGGAGGGGGCCAATTTGGTAGCCCTTTCTAGATTATTCCACAGTTTTGGACCGCGATAAGAAAAAGCCTTTTGGCCATTTATTGTTCTTAGCAGCGGTATCTTAAGATCAGTTTCTGATGAACGCAGAAACCGTTCTCTATCATCCGAACATTTTTCGAATAATTTTCTCAAATAGTCTGGTGCAAGCATATTTAGAGATTTGTAAGTTAGCGTGGCTGTCTCCTTTCTTACAAGATTTCTGATGGTTAACCAGCCAAGATTCTGAATTATTGGAGCAGCAGATGCATCGTATGGGCTGCTAGTTACAATTCTGGCAGCTCTATTTTGGATTTTTTGCAACACGTCAAGCTTTGATTCATTACAGCAGCCCCAAACGGAACAACAGTAGCTCAAATGGGGCTCAACAATTCCTCTATACATTTTGTTGAGGATGTCAGATGGAAGATATTTCTTAGAATACTTAATAAGTCCAAGGGCTCGATTAGCCTTGGTCTTGATAGTATCGATATGCTTGTCCCAGTTGAGCTTACTGTCTATCTGAACACCTAAGTATCTTGTGTTGGTGATCATTTCAATGTTCTGATCACCTATTGAAAAAGAAAAAGTCCGGACCTGATAAAGAAAAGTCCGAATCACAATCACAAGTCCGAATCACAAGGACCTGATAAAGAAAAATTCTTTATCAGGTCCTTGTGATTTTTCTGTAGCAGCACCATCACCATTATCATCTTCTTCTAAAATCTCTGCTAAATCATCAGGAAATACATGTTCCCA